GGATGGGGGCGGGGGGCTCGGAAATGGGTCTGGGGTCTCTGGGTGTGGTCAGGGCGGGGTCAGGTGTGTCTGGGTGGGGTCAGGGGTCTCTGGGCGGGGTCAGGGGTCTCTGGGTGTGTCCCCCTCCCCGATTTAACCCCCCACACTCACGCAGGGGGGGAGGGTGAGGACGTGCTGGGCGAGCTGGAGTACGACAAGGTTCCGTTCTCGTCGCTGCGGCGAACGCTGGATCAGCGCCGGGCTCTGGTCATGCAGCTGTTCCAGGAGCACGGCTTCTTCCCCTCGGGTGAGCCCCGAAACGGCCCCAAAACAGCCCAAAAAACGGCCCAAAAAACGGCCTGAACCAGCCCAAAATACAGCCTGAAAACAGCCTGAAACAGCCCAAAAAACGGCCCAAAAAACGGCCTGAAACAGCCCAAAAAACAGCCTGAAACAGCCCAAAAAGCAGCCCAAAAAACAGCCTGAAACAGCCCCAAAAAACAGCCTAAAAACAGCCTGAAAACAGCCCAAAAACAGCCTGAAACAGCCCAAAAAACAGCCCAAAAACAGCCTGAAAACAGCCCAAAAAACAGCCTGAAACAGCCTAAAAAACAGCCCAAAAACAGCCTGAAAACAGCCCAAAAACAGCCTGAAACAGCCCAAAAAACAGCCCAAAAACAGCCTGAAAACAGCCCAAAAAACAGCCTGAAACAGCCCAAAAAACAGCCCAAAAAACAGCCTGAAACAGTCCAAAAATAGCCTGAAACAGCCCAAAAAACAGCCCAAAAAACGGCCCAAAAACAGCCTGAAACAGCCCAAAAAACAGCCCAAAAAACAGCCTGAAACAGTCCAAAAATAGCCTGAAACAGCCCAAAAAACAGCCCAAAAAACGGCCTAAAAACAGCCTGAAACAGCCCAAAAAACAGCCCAAAAAACAGCCTGAAACAGTCCAAAAATAGCCTGAAACAGCCCAAAAAACAGCCCAAAAAACGGCCCAAAAACAGCCTGAAACAGCCCAAAAAACAGCCCAAAAAACAGCCTGAAACAGTCCAAAAATAGCCTGAAACAGCCCAAAAAACAGCCCAAAAAACAGCCTGAAACAGCCCAAAAAACAGCCCGAAACAGCCCAAAAAACGGCCTGAAACAGCCCAAAAAACAGCCTGAAACAGCCCAAAAAACATCGCTGAGCAACCCCAAAATCATCCCAAAAATGTTCCCAAATCAGCCCGAAACCATCCCAGAATTATCCCAAACTCTTCTCCTGAGTGACCCCGAGTGACCCCTGAGTGACCCTGAGTGACCCCTGAGTGACCCCGAGTGACCCTGAGTGACCCCTGAGTGACCCTGAGTGACCCCTGAGTGACCCCTGAGTGACCCCGAGTGACCCTGAGTGACCCGAGTGACCACTGACCGCTGTGTGTCCCCAGCCCAGGCCACGGCCGCGTTCCAGTCGCGTTTCTCGGACATTTTCCCCACCAAGCTCTGTCTGCAGCTCAAGATCCGCGAGGTTCGCCAGAAGATCATGCAGGCGGCCACGCCCACCGACCCCGCCCCGCCCCCCGACCCCGACGGCCCCGCCCCCTCCGCCGAGGCCACGCCCCCCGCGCCGCCGCCGCCCAATCCGGCGCCGCCTCCCTCCTGCTCCGACCCCGCCCCCTCCGCCGAGGCCCCGCCCCCCTCGCCCCCCGCGGGCGGGGGAGGGGCGCGCTGATCCATTCCATGGCCACGCCCCCCCCCTTTTTTTGGGCTCCTCCCCCTTTTGGGTTTGTGGGGTGGGGGCGGGGCCGGGCGGGGTCACGTGATCTTTTAAATAACGGGAAAAAACCCTTCGGAGCCCCGCCCCTCGTTTGTGTCGCCGTCCGTGATTGGGTGGGGGCGGGGTGGGGGCGGGGTTTGGGTGGGGTTTGGGGTGGGGGCGGGGTGGGGGTGGGCCACGGTTTGGGGTGGGGGTGGGGCTTGGGGAGGCCACGCCTCTTCTTAAAGGAGCCGCAGGGAGGGGGAGGGGACGGGAATGGGGGGATGGGGGGGGAGCTGTGGGACAGCCTGGGGACATTGGGGACATCTTGGGGACATTGGGGACACCTTGGGGACATTGGGGACACCCCAGAGGTGGCACAGGGACACCAGGACATCTCCGGGGGGGTCACTGGGACACTTTGGGGTCACTCTGGGGTCACTCTGGGGGTCACTGGGACACTTTGGGGACACTGGGACACCCTGAGGACGCTTTGGGGACACTGGGGACACTCCAGAGGTGGCCGAGGGACACCAGGACAGCTCCGGGGGGGTCATTGGGGACACCCTGGGGACAGGACGGGGTGGCACAGGGACACTGGGGACACTCTGGGGGTCACTGGGACACTTTGGGGGTTACTGGGGACACCCTGGGGTCACTTTGGGGTCACTGGGACAGTCTGGGGACACTTTGGGGACACTTTGGGGTCACTGGGACACTTTGGGGACGCCCCGGGGATTCCCCTGTGGGCGTGGCCAGCCGGACCGAACCATTCCTACAGCGGGGGGGGGAGGAGCCGGCGCCAACCAATGAGAACGCGCGGAGGGGGCGGCCCCGCGCTCGCCCCGCCCTCCTCATCGCTCATTGGCCGGCGCGAAATCTCGCCGGCGCGGATTGGCTGGGAGGAGCCTCGCGAGAGTTGAGCCCCTGCTGCTTGCGCGGGCGGCCCCGTGCTCGGCCTCTTCCGGTGCGGCAGCGGCGGCGGCGAGGTGAGGGCGGGAGCGGGAAAACCGGGAAAAACCGGGAAAAACGGGGAAAAACGGGGAAAAAACCGGGAAAAACGGGGAAAAAACCGGGAAAACCTTCTCCCCGCAGATGCCCGGCGTGACGGTGAAGGACGTGAACCAGCAGGAGTTCGTGAGGGCGCTCGCCGCCTTCCTCAAGAAGTGAGGCGGGGGAAGCGGGACCGGAGGGGCCGGGGGGGGGGGGTCCCGGGGGGTGTCGGTGTTACCGGTGCTGGGAGCCGCTGTTCCCGGTTCCGATGGTATCGGTGCGGCCGGTTCCGGTTCCGGTGTTGCCGGTTCCGGTGTTGCCGGTTCCGGTGTTGCCGGTGCCATTCCCGGTGCCGTTCCCGCGCAGGTCCGGGAAGCTGAAGGTGCCCGAATGGGCGGACACGGTGAAATTGGCCAAGCACAAGGAGCTGGCGCCCTATGACGAGAATTGGTTTTACACCCGGGCAGGTGAGAGAGAGAGAGAGAGAGAGAGAGAGACCCCCGCCCCAAATCCCGGGGCTCTCCGCACCGGGGGGTCCCGGCTTATTCCCGGGGGTCCCGAGCCCTTCCCGGGGGTCTCTCCCGTTATCCCGGGATGATTCCCGTTTTTCCCGGTGTTTCTCCCATTCCCGGGGGTCTCTCCCGTTATTCCCGGGCTGTTTTCCCGTTATTTATTCCCACGATATTTCCCCGGTATTCCCGGGACATTTTCCCGTTTTCCCCTGGCTTTTTTTCCCGTTATTCCCGTGATGTTTTCCCCGTTAACCCCTGGTGATTATTCCCGATAACCCACGGCCATTTCCCGTTAACCCCAGTGATATTTCCCTGTTATTCCAGTGATATTTTTCTGTTATTCCCTGGATATTTCCCATTATTCCTGTGATATTTTTCCCGTTTTCCCACTCTTTTTCCCGTTTTCCCGCAGCCTCCCCGGCCCGACACCTGTACCTGGAGATTATTCCCGATAACCCATGGACATTTCCCGTTAACCCCTGGAGATTATTCCCGTTATCCCCTGGAGATTATTCCCGTTATCCCCTGGAGATTATTCCCGTTAACCCCTGGAGATTATTCCCGATAACCCATGGACATTTCCCGTTATCCCCTGGAGATTATTCCCGATAACCCACGGCCATTTCCTGTTAACCCCTGGAGATTATTCCCGATAACCCACGGCCATTTCCCGTTAACCCCTGGAGATTATTCCCGATAACCCACGGACATTTCCCGTTATCCCCTGGAGATTATTCCCAATAACCCACGGCCATTTCCCGTTAACCCCAGTGATGATTCCCCTTTATTCCAGTAATATTTTTCCCGTTTTCCCGCTCTTTTTCCCGTTTTCCCGCAGCCTCCACGGCCCGACACCTGTACCTGGAGATTATTCCCATTAACCCCTGGAGATTATTCCCGTTAACCCACGGCCATTTCCCGTTAACCCCAGTGATGATTCCCCTTTATTCCAGTAATATTTTTCCCGTTTTCCCACTCTTTTTCCCTTTTTCCCGCAGCCTCCACGGCCCGACACCTGTACCTGCGGGGTGGGGCGGGCGTGGGCTCCATGGCCAAGGTTTACGGGGGCCGGCAGCGCCGCGGGGTCCGGCCCAGCCACTTCAGCCGCGGCTCGGGGGCCGTGGCTCGCCGCGTCCTGCAGGCGCTCGAGGCCCTCAAGGTGGTGGAGAAGGACCAGGACGGGTAAATTTTGGGCTAGAAAATGTCATTTTTGGGGTTTTTTTGTCTGGTTTTGTTTGGGTGGTTTTTTTGTCTCTTTTTTTCCCGTTTGAATTTGGGGGTTTTTTTTGCTCTGAATTTGGTTTGTTTCTCGTCTCGATTTGTGCTTTTTTCCCCTCTCAAACTGTAATTTATTCCCTTCTTAATTTGCAGTTTTTCTCCTCAAATTGTAATTTATTCCCCTCTTAATTTACACTTTTCCCCCTCATAATTTGCACTTTTCCCCTCTCACAATTTACAATTTATTCCCTTCTTAATTTGCAATTTATTCCTCTCTCAGTTTGCACTTTTTGTCCCCCTTAATTTGCACCTTTCTCCCCTCTCAATTTGCACTTTTCTCCCTCAAACTTTCCCTTCTTTCCTTTAAATTCTGTATTTTTATCCCATTTTTCCCCTCATTTTTATCCCATTTTCCCATTGAAAAATCCACATTTTCCTCCCCAGTTCTGTACCAAAAATCCCCCATTTTCCCCCATTTTTATCCCATTTTCCCTTTGCAAAACCCCCCATTTTAATCCCCCAATTCCCCATTTCTCCCTTTTCTGCCCATTTCCCCGTTTTTACCCCATTTTTTACCATTTTCACCCCATTTTTCCCCACCCAGGGGCCGCAAATTGACTCCTCAGGGGCAGCGGGACCTGGATCGCATCGCCGGGCAGGTGAGTCCCAGGATTTTTACCCCAAATCCCTTCAAATTTAAGGAATTTTAACCAGTTTCCCTTTTTTTTTTTTCCTCCTCTCCCAGGTCGCTGCCGCCAGCAAGAAACACTGAGGGAACCAAAAATAAACCAAAATAAAATGAGTGTTTTTGTCCAAAATCGGGGAAAACAGCCTCAAAATCAACCCGAGCGGGGAATGCTGGCAGGGTGGGAAGCGCCCCAAAAAGGGAGGAAAAATTTAAATTAATTAAGAAATCCTAAATTAGCGGGGAAAAGCTGCTTAAAGTGCGAGGCGAAATGGGAAATTTCTCCTAAAAATGTTATTTAGGGGGGGCCTCAAAATTAGGGAAAATGTCCCAAAATAGTGAGGGGAAATGGTGTCGATGCCCTGAAAAATGAGTGAAATGCTTCGATACTACGAAATTCTAAATAAATAAGGGATTTTTAGCTATAAATTAAGAGGGTTTAGCACAAACTGGGATATTATCGGGGATTGAAGAGCTGCAGTTGGAAAATAAATGTGTTTAAACCCCAAACTTTGCTGTTTTTGGGGTAGTTTTGGTTCCTGATATCCCCAGCCTCCAACTGCAGCAATTTTTGTAGGAGATGAGCGGAAAAAAAGGCAACTTTTGTCCCAAAATGCCAATTTTTAGCAGCAAGTGGTGGTGAAGGGGCCAAGTCTGGGCTGAAAACAGATTTGGAGGAGGGAATGTGGGATTTTTTACAGACACAAATCTGTGTTTCACCTGTTCTTTTGGGTCTGAATCACCTAAAATTGGTAGTTTTGGTACCGAGCCTTAATTTGCCTACGTCAGAGTCTCAGGAGACTCCAGGACTGGGGGGAAAAAAACCCAATTCCGCCTTTCCCCGTTAATTTTACCTCAGAAAATTAACCTCTTCCTCAGAAAACGCTTTATTTTCCCCTCAGGAAACCCAGGGTTTCTTTCCCCTCAGCTGAGATTTTTTTACCTCACCGAATCAAAATTCGGCCTGAGAAAAAAATATTTTCCTCAGGGGAAAAAAAAAGGGGTTGCCTCACAAAACGGTGTTTTTGGTGAAAAGCAGGCTCTGGCCCCAAAGGCGGTGATTTTTACCTCAGAAATGGGTGATTTTTACCTCAGAAAACGCAATTTTCCCTCACGCAGCGTCCGCTCGCCTCAGGGACTGCGGGGAGAGGGCGGGGCCGAGGCGGAAGGGCGGGCTCTGATTGGTGGAGGCGGCGGGAGGGGGCGTGGCCGCGGCCAAGGGCGGGAAAAGCGCTGCGGGAGAAGCCGGGACGAAGCCGCCATTTTGTCCGCGGCGCCTCAGGGGGAGGCGGCGGCGGCTCCGGGCTCGGCCGCCATGGGTGAGTCCCCGCTCCTTTCGCCTCCTGCGAGCCTCCACACGACGCTGGCGATGGCCGCTGCACGCTCCGGGTCTCCTGGCAGCGTTTGGAGCGCGCCCGGGGTGGGTTCGCCCTCAGCTTCTGTGGGGCAAGAGGGTCGCGCCTCACCCGCGCTTGGTGCCATCTCTCAAAGTTTTCACCGCTCTCCAAAGGTGTCACCGCTTTCCAAAGGTTTCACCACTTCCCGAAAGGTTTCGCCACCTCCTAAAAGGTTTCACCTCCCTCCTCCCAGTCCTCGGGCAGCGGCAGGGCCGGTTCTGCCGCTCCCTCAGCCGGGTTCCCCTCAGGGCTGAGGGATCCCCGCCATCACCTTCATCATCCTCTCCCTCCTTTGGGGAAGGCTCAGCTCATCCTCCTCCATTTCACGTTAAAAATGCACAAATTGCAGGCGGAGCGCTGCTGGTTTTACCAAAACTTCAGTCCCTTGTGTGTCCCAAACGCTTTGTTTGGCCTTTAACCCCCTTTTGGCCCCGTTTTGCCTCCTTTTACACATTTAAATTGTTTTTCTCCCCCCGTTTCAGACGTGTTTTGGCCCGCTTTAGGCCAAATTTGTTGCCAGTTTGGTGCTGGGCAGCCTCATTTTTGCCATTTTGCCCTCATTTTCTCCTTCCTCGGCCCTATTTAGTCCCATTCTGACCATTTTGGCCCCTTTTAGTCTTTGTTTAGCCCAGTTTTTATTGTGCTTTGCCCCATTTTTTCCCCTTTTTAGTTCTGTTTCGACCTCTTTAGCCACGCTCTGACCTCGTTTTGACCACTTTATTCCCATTTTACTCCAATTTAGCCCCATTTCACCCCAATTCGAACACAATTTGACCACTTTATTCCCATTTTATCCCAGTTTGGACACAATTTCACCCCGTTTTTAACACTTTATTCCCACTTTATCCCAATTTAGCCCCATTTCACCCCAATTCGAACACAGTTTGGCCACTCTATTCCCATCCCCCATTCCCCCCAATTTTTTCCTGAATTTTCCCCCCATTTTTTCTCCCATTTTCCCCCAAAATTTTCCCCAATTTTTTCCTAAATTTCCCCCCCATTTTCCCTCGGTTTTTCCCCAAATTCTTCCCCATTTTTTCCCTCGATTTCCCCCCAATTTTATTCCATTTTTTCCCCAATTTCTCCCCATTTCCCCCCAATTTTTTTCCTCAATTTCCCCCCAATTTTATTCCATTTTCCCCCCCATTTTCCCCCAAATTTCCCCCCAATTTTTCCCTCAGTTTCCCCCCAATTTTTATTCCATTTTTTCCCCAATTTCTCCCCATTTTCCCCCAAATTCTCCCCCATTTTTTTCCCTCTATTTCTCCCCAATTTTATTCCATTTCCCCCCATTTTCCCCCAAATTTCCCCCCATTTTTTTCCCTCAGTTTCCCCCCAATTTTACCCCATTTTCCCCCCATTTCCCCCCAATTTCTCCCCCATTCTTTTCTTCAATTTTCTCCAATTTTCCCCCATTTTCCCCCAAATTTCCCCCCATTTTTTTCCCTCAGTTTCCCCCCAATTTTACCCCATTTTCCCCCCATTTCCCCCCAATTTCTCCCCCATTCTTTTCTTCAATTTTCTCCAATTTTCCCCCATTTTCCCCCAAATTTCCCCCCATTTTTTT